ACATGTCATCGTATCCCAATTGCGTAGATCGATGCTCATGATGTCAATCATTGGATTGTCTGGCCAAGACTCGATTATTTACAGACCGCAGTCATATAGCTGGAATATTGCTGAGTGCGGCGTAAAACAACAATCAATATGTACGCGCGTGCACGTGTGTGTGTTTTTTATTGGAATCCCTACTTAGGCAAAATAGGTAAATGTCTTTTACGGACATAAATGCATACAGATCCACTGGACAGGGAACAAATTAACCACATTTGAGCAAATCCGGCAAAAAGTGGTATATAAATGTATACTATTATTATATTAATATCCCAATGAATATAAAACATTAAGCAACTCTCACCGAGATGGCCTTATTGTCCGTTAGGCCTACCAGAACAACCGACGTCCTCACCCACCCACATGCTCCTGTAACACACAATCTCACCTTCACACATTTCATGTTTCCAGGTTTCATTTCTAACTTGCACTTCAAACTGTGTCTTAGTTTGCGGGAAACTCCTCTAATATTTGAAACTGGCAGGAAGTGACTTTACCAGCTCTATCCTACCGTCCTGTTCCAGACCTACTGTGTTTGTTCTGATTCCTTAGGGTAGTAGTTCGGTTTCACACAGCTGGCACATTTATTCTTCGCTTCATACTTCAATGATCACAAAACACCCAGTCATGAGAGGAGTACTGCGTTGCTGTGCCAGGCAACAAATACATACTTTGTCATGCAAATTGTGAGTGTGGCAGATGCTACCAGGAGGACAGTATATGCTTACTCTTTTCTCGACACCTGGTGTCATTACTGATTTCCAGAGATCCGTTAATTTGCCTTTTGCGCCCAATGGAATCTGTTTCGTTCAGACATGACTATTTGACTGTGTTAATACCGCGAAATTTCACTCACTCATGCATTCTAAGATATCTGATACTTAGGATGCATACTGCCACATTATACCCAATGGAACACATAGTCACATTTAATACAAATATTAATAGATTTGAAATTATTTTTATCAAGCACCTTACAGGTTATTTATGTTGAATTTGATAAATGTCATCATGTTCCTGAAGATATCTCATTTGATAAATGTTGTTTAATGATGTCACTTCGAGGGACGTTCAATACGTTTTGCAACTTGGGCATTTGTGTTTTCACAAACAATGTCAACTTGTGGCAGGTGTGACACTAGTCATAACATCAAGTTGACACGTGTCATAACAAGTTCCAGACACAACAAGTTAGATGTGATGGCTTCATTCACTTCATTGTGGTCACAATCAAGGATTCTCTCAAACATGAACAACGCGCTGTAATAAATTTCCGTACCAAGGAGGGACGCAAGGCAAAGGAAATCCATGATCGCATGAGTAAAGTGAAAGGTAAGGATGCTCCTGACTATTCCACAGTTTGACGTTGGTCTCTACAGTTTAAAAGGGGTAGGGAGTCCATAGACGATGACCCAAGGTCAGGCAGGCCTTCAGATGCCACCCAACCGGAAACCATTGCTGCTATAGAAAGAAGAATTTTGTCTTTCTGATGAGTGAAAGTATCTGAACTTTCTAGGGAATTCTAAACATCAGTTGGAACTGTTGGAACCATTATTCATGAGCATCTTGGTATGCTCCGGCAAATGAAATCTGCCCTACGTGGAAGACGCTTCCAGGATGACGACGACATAAAGGCTGCCACAGAGGCGTGGTTAGAGGGCCAATCAGCGGATTTCTATAAAAGTGGTATTAAAAGCTTGAAGGACAAATGGAATACTTGTTTTGAGGTGAATGGAGATTATATTGAAAAATAAAAGTGCAAAAGATATTCTGCAACTTGGTCTAAGTTGCAAAACGTATTGAATGCCACTCGTATCATAAAAAAAATAATAATTTTGGAACATTTATATTATTACGTTGTTATTAGTAAATAGTATATGTAACTTAATAAATATATAGTGTCTTATCAATAGTTTAATTTTTCTCACGAATTCTCACCCAGGTCACATTGTTCGCAAACAAGTTGTCTCAACGTCAGATCGCAATCAGTGCTTTAGGCCTGATGACCATCACGAAGGACACGATCCTTACGGTATGTTGATTTAAATTTATTCATTTATAATCTTCGCTGAAACCTAAACAGAATATATATATATATATGTATATATAGCTTCATTACAGCCCAATAGCCCATTGTAGTTCCATTACCTTGCTTTTTGTTGACACAGATCGTCGGGACCCTCCTCACCTATGTTTTCATCGTGATCCAGTTTAAACCGGAATCAACGGGTGGAATGGGGCAGGATACAAACACCACGGCAGGATAACTGCATCAAGTCGTATTTGACTTGCGCTTGAAGTTTGTGCACTAATGGCTTTGCAGCTTTTGTTTGTAATGTATTGACATCGTCGCTGTGGACACCATGCTTTCAACCGCCTTTGAAAGTGCTCTTGATAATGGAACAACTTTAATTATTGATTCACATGTTTTCAGCGAAATGCAGGCTCGATTGATTAAAACAGGTAACGTAGTGAGAGGAATGAGAGCTATCTCCCTTACATCATTTGTCCCTCTCAGAAGTGGTCTCGATTTTTCTAATTATACCTATACAAACTTAAGCCTTTTCTCAGCATGAATGCATCGATATCCAACTCAACCATACTTAAAAATGGCTGCCGATCACTGATCGCTCGGGTGTTTTAGGCAACGATGGTTTGGGTACAGGTATCTGCTATATAGGTAATAACTCTTTATACATATTTACTTAATGCTCATGTATTTACCCTTGTATTGTATGTGGTGTATATACCCTTTAACATGTTTGTTTGTTTGTTTCTTGCTTAAGGCCGAACTCAGCAATATTCCAGGCATTTGACGGCGTTCTGTAAATAATCGAGTCTCGACCAGACATTCCAGTGATTGACATCATGAGCATCGATCCACGCACTTGGGATACGATGACATGCATCAACCAAGTCAGCGAGCCTGACCACCCGATCCCGTTAGTCGCCCCTTACGACAAGCATAACATGTTTATACACAAGTCTCCTATGAGTGTGTCTCATATATGATACGACTGTATTCTTATGTGTTTTTACATGTGCGTATGAGTTGAGACTCAAATAAATTATCCGTCTGTCTGTCCAAGGGATTCGCCCTGACTGCTTGGATGATGAGAAGGCACCACTAAACGAAGGCAAATGGTTTGCATACAAATGGTAACATGCATGGAACTGGTAACGTTAAAAGGAAACTGAATGCGATATGAAAGTCAACGTAACCTCCTCAGCGATTATTTATCGCGAGGACATAGTGAGCTTACAAAAACACTGCCTGGATCTCAGCGATTCAAACCAGACGAAACCCTGCATATATCTGTCCTGTTGGGTCATGTAAATTACATCTATCCCAATTACAATGCTATCTTCCAAAGACCTAGGAAACTCACAAACAAATCTTCCAACAATCACTGGTTCACTGCACAGGCACTTGCAAATCAACATGATGAAATCAATTAATCAATGTTAGTTGAGGTGAAATGGGGTTTAACGTCGCGTCCAAGATTATTGCACTTATATAGCGACGTGTATGTACGTGTGTGCTTGTACTAGTCCGGACTGATGCCGATTTATAGTGCTAGCTCACTGAGATACCATGCCGCAGTTTAACATGAATACCCCACTCAGACACAGTATACTGACTCCGAGCCCACCAGTCCTTGCTTTAGCCCCTTAATGCCGTGCGCCAGACAGGGTAACAACAAGTACCATCTTTTAACGTCTTTTGGTATGACGCGGCCGGGGATCGAACCCCGGACCATCCGCTCTCCGGGTGGACGCTCTACCACTAGACCACGGAGGCGGTCCAATTAATCAATACGTGCACGAACAACTGTGACCACAGTCACAATTGTTTCACATGCTGATGTCGAATGTTTCAAATCATGAAACTGGCGGGTCAAAAGATTGAAGAATCAGCAATGTAAAGCCATTTCAACTCGTCTTCAGCAAGGCTTATTAACGCCGTTATTCATTCATCCTTCAGGTTGGTTCATTGGCAATCACCATGTACCCACATTCTCGTTCCCAGTAAAGTCATAGGCTAATGTTGAACCACATCACAGATCGGGGTTGTCATCTGATTCCTGAAGCTGTCAATGACACGGAGGCTGGCTGTCAACACCTTCTTTGACAGCCATTGGCTGTAGTGACGAGTAACGGTTTAGTAGGTCAGGTTACGACACGTCCAAGGTCGGGGTGGAGATGTAGCTATATTGACTTTGTATTATTTTCAGGAGGTAAGTGCTAACTAACACGACGTACACATATTAATAAAGGATACAAAACCCCTTTCAATATACAAGAGAAATCTCTGCATAAATTGCACGATTACTACTGTATCATTTGCATGTGTTTATAAATCACTATCAAATAGTAATGATACCAGAGGTTCGCAAAAAGGTAAGCGTATCCTGCCCCACCATCAAATACACATGCAAAGGCAAGTCAATTGTTCACCTGAAGAAACAAGGGAACATATGTTACAAGTCAAAATGGGGAATTGCATCGGACATAAATATTGTCGCTGAAGCGTCAAATTTCGAAATGTTCACCGCATGTCTACCACAAAAAGTTTTGAAAGCTTTACAGAGGCCATAAATGTCATAACTACAGAGCAAGAGTCGCATGACGCTCTTTGAAATCTTGATAGAAAGAGCATGCTCGATTGTATCTCATAAGTTATAATAGTCCTCTAAGGTGCCGCGATTCGCTGAGCAGAGTTGCGTCCCTTGGGCACACCAGAAACCCATGATTGTGAGTTCGAATCCCGGTTCGCCCAAATTTATTTTTCTAGGTTTGTCAGGACCATACCTTTGCTCGTGGGTTTCACCGAAGTGGTAAACGTCTGAGATCTAAATCACTTCGGGCTTTCCCCTCACATTAAGCTGACACACAGTGATATAACTGGAATAATGTTAAAAGCGGCGTTAAACCCAACTCGCTCACTCCTCAATTGGATTTGGTATTTTATACCATATGTGAAGATGTTAACAAACATTTTTCAGTCATCCTGTGTTCATTGCCCAACGTTAAAGTGGACTGGCGATGCTATTACCAGCAGACAACAGAGGGAGACATGTGTATTAAATGAAGCCAAGGTGGAGTGTTAGAGTGAAAGTAAATATTGATTGACTGCATTTCGGAACAGAGAATTTATCGGGAAGCATTAGCGTGCACATGCATCAACCTCTCTACAAATAAACGGAATTGTATTTACTGTGTCATCATTTGAAATGACATTTGTCTGAATTGAAGATAGTAGCTAATACTACTTTAACAAAAAGCTTTTATCTAATTACGATCATTGCGAGTGACTTAACAATGCAGGGCAGTATCATGCAAACCAATTGACATGTCGACATTCCTCGATAAAAGTCGGCATTTGATATGACATACTGAGACTGCTAGCTGGATTGACGTGACGCAGCAATAGTTTCTCTCACCATGTCTCGTGTTCAGCCACAGCAGGCATCATCTTCATCTTCATCTGATGGAAAGAAAGAAACAACCAACTCAAGATCTGTCCTACAACTACTTAGACCAGGGTTAATCTTGATGCGTGTTTGTGGAATAAGCACTGGTCCACATGTTACTGTGGAGAATATAGGATGTACTGACGACCGTTTCAGACTGCTTCACAAAGATGGCTGGTTCCATATACTCTACTGTGTCCTCATAAACTCATATCTTTGGATCTACACAGGAATACTTGCCTGTAACGTTGCACTACTTGTACCGATGTCAAGCGAATGGATAATAGTTTTTCAAATAATGGCTCTGAATTGTATGGCATCTGGGTTGTGTACTTGGGCCTCACTGAACTATCGAGATGCAACATACCAGTCTTGGTGTAAGGATTTCTATTTATATGAACAACGTTATGGTGTTCATGAAAATATGAAAAACATGGTAAAGAAAAGCAGGATGGTTGTTGCGTTTGTGATGTCCTCTGGTATTTGTGTGACAGGAGTGATGTTCACGTATGTCCTTGTCATCCAAGAAGTTGGAGAGCTTACTTTCGTTAATGCTTTGGGATGGTTGAACTATTTGATATCAATCATCAATTATTTCATTTACTCCATTTTAACAACGAGTTCTTTTGTGGGTGCAGTGATTGGAACATACCCTCTTTGTTCTGAACTTGACGTGATAAACATAATTATGAAACGATGCGTCGAACAAAACATGAATCATCAAGAAAACCAGACATTCAGATCGGAATGTGCCCCTGAATATCAGTGTGTAAAACTAACGGACATAATACGTCGACATAAGCACATCTGTTCTTTAATATCTGGGTATGGTGACTCTATTGCATACTTTCAATTCGGAACGTTTTTCATGTCACTGCCGCTGTCATGCTTTTCACTGTATGTCCTCCTGACACGTATGGAATCACAAAATAATGTTTTTCTGTGTACGTTTATCCTGGTCTCTTGCAGTGTGTCGTTCATCGTGATGTCCGTGACAGGCGTGAGGGTCAACGTAAAGGTGAGTATGTAGTCGATAACAGATTTCGATACCTGATTTTCCCTATGAGAAATGGATTCTGATTGGACAGTCAGAGGTTCAAATCACAATCCGTGAAATAACTGGAATACTGTTCAAAGCGCCGTTAAACCCAACTCACTCACTCATAAAAGCAGTATGCTTATCTTCTCACTTTTTGCACTTTTAATCAAAACTTTCAGCCCATTAACAATGATTTGTCCATGACACAAGGATATCACAATGCTACTTTCATCACATGTGTTGTAACAGGCTCATGCTGCACTTCAATGCGTCTTAAAGATCTCGACGGCCGACCTCAGCGAAACAACCATGAGAGAAGTGAGTAGTAGGACTTACTAAAGCAAAATCATATGTCATTTAAAATTGTCCTATTGTGGAATAAGCAGTGCTTGGAATGTGGGATCGGTGGCTGGTCCAGCTGTGAATGTTTACACAGATAGTATCACGAATCCTCTCGAAATCGGCTATTGGTTTTCAATTTCATTTACTTACAGGTGAAATTAACGACCAGTCACTTGTTGTTTCTTTCTCTCAGGTTACAAATGATTGTGCAAATAAAATGCATTGTGGCGACATTTCAGGTGTGGCAGTGTACTGTTAGGTGTCGCATAATAGTGCTCAGTAATCAGTAATCATGTTTTCACCTTACCAGAAAAGATTAGATATTGATTTCGAGACCATTTTGCATTTAATGAGATGTGGATTTGAAGACTACAAGACAGCCTTGCTACAGAATTGGTTTGTTGTTTAACACCGCACTCAGCAATATTACAGCTATATGACGGCGGTCTGTAACTAATCGAGTCTGGACCAGACAATCCAGTGATTGATATCATGAACATCGATCCACGCAATTGGGATCGATGACATGCATCAACCAAGTCAGCGAGCCTGACCACCCGATCCCGTTAGTCGTCTTTTACGACAAGCATAGTCGCCTTTTACGGCAAGCATGGGTTGCTGAAGATCTATTCTACCCCGGAATCTTCACGGGTCCTTGCTACAGAAACTGAATATTTGTCACAGGTGAACCAGTCCACAAGCCTGCTCACTGGGACAACAATTGGCTACAGCGTGTATGGTCTCTTTACCATCACTCCATCGAATCTTCTAACGGTAGGTTGATAACTAATTTTTAAAGTGTTTCTTAAACGGGAGCTCAAAAGAGAGGAAACAGGAAACGAATATATTGAAGAAATAGGTTTTTAACCGGAAAGTGTGGCTAGTGTGGATGTTCATGATCAGAAGATTTGAACAATGGTTTCTGGAGACTTGGTGTTCTGAACTACATATGTTATTATTGTTTCAGATTGTTGGAACTTTGGTTACCTACTTTGTCGTGGTTCTGCAGTTTCGTGCGCCAGACTGCGAGACGAGTCTTGACATATTGTGGCAGGATCTGGTGGCCAATGTTACTCTACTTCTGGAGGGTATGCGTAATGCCACGTCACATACATAGGTGCATTTACACATCATGTAAACATGTGCCTATTATTTCTTCAACAACTTCTTCTTGTTGCTTCACTGTCGATATTATTTTCAGTGTGCTAGTAAAACTATATATTATGTCTGTTGAAACAATTGTGGGTAAGGTAGACATCTTGATTGGTTTGGAAGTTTACATTTTGCAATGGCATAATACCGTTTAATTAAAATTAAATTGATAAATATTTTGTTTGTTGTTTGTTTAATGCCGCAATCAGCAATATTCCAGCTATATGACGGCGGTCTGTAAATAATCGAGTCTGGACCAGACAATCCAGAGATTGATATCACGAGCATCGATCCACGCATTTGGTTTGGTTTGGTTTGTTTGTTGTTTAATGCCGCACTTAGCAATATACCAGCTAAATGACAGCGGTCTGTAAATAATCGAGTCTGGACCAGGATTGACATCATGAGCTTCGATCCACGCAATTGGGAATCGATGACATGCATCACATTTGGTTTTTTTTGGTTTGGTTTGTTGTTTTACGCTGCACTCAGCAATATTCCAGCTATATGACGGCGGTCTGTAAATAATCGAGTCTGGACCAGACAATCCAGTGATTTACATCATGAGCTTCGATCCACGCAATTGGGAGCGATCACATGCATTAACCAAGTCAGCGAGCCTGACCGCCCGATCCCGTTAGTCGCCTTTTACGACAAGCATAGTCGCCTTTTACGGCAGGCATGGATTGCTGAAGACCGCTGATCGCATCACATTTGGGATACGATGACATGCATCAACTAAGTCAGCGTGCCAGACCACCTGATCCCGTTAGTCGTCTCATACGACAAGCATAGTCGTCTTTTAAGGCAAGCATTGGTTGGTTGGTTGGTTTAATGTTTTACGCCACACTCAGCAATATTCCAGCTATATCACGGCGGTCCGTAAATAATCGAGTCTCGACCAGACAATCCAGTAATTGACATCATGAGCTTCGATCCACGCAATTGGGATCGATGACATGCTTCAACCAAGTCAGCGAGCCTGACCACCCGATCCCGATAGTCGCCTTTTCCGACAAGCATAGTCACCTTTTACGGCAAGCTTAAGTAAAAATTGCCATGTTTATGTCGATCCGAACAGCAATTCCGAATCATGTTCATATGCTAAAAGAAACAGATCAGTAAAAAGGGGAGCACAACTTGTGCCAATCGGGACCCCGACTTCTTGTGGTTGGTTTGTTTGTTTGTTGTTTTACGAAATGCCAGGCCTGTCCGAAAATGAGCATCTTCGAGCCATTGGTATGCTTGAAGCAGGATCAAGTCAACGTGATGTTGCAAGACAATTTACCGTCCACAGAAACACCACTTGGTGTTTATGGCAACGTTGGCAACAGACGAATGCAGACAGAGACCATCCTCGGAGTGGCAGGCCACGCCTAACCAATAATCGACAAGACAACTGGATTCGAACAACACACCAATGAAATCGATTCCAGCCAGCAACAGTGACTGCAAGAAGCATCCCTTGCTTTCAACGAATATCTTCACAAACCGTACGTCGTCGCCTCAGATGTGCAGGGATTGTCGCCAGAAGACCCGCCAGACGTCCCATTTTGAAACCAGGAAACCACCGTCAAGCACGTCTACAGTGGTGCCAACAGCGTCTACGCTGGACGGCCATGCAGTGGGGACAAGTTCTATTCACTGACCAGTCTCGTTTTCACCTCAGCCACAGCGATGGACGGATTCGAGTGTACCGACGTCGAGGTAAACGTTACAACAATCATTGTGTCATGGAAGAAGATCGGTTCGAGGGCGGCAGCGTTATGGTATGGGGTGGGATTACAGCAAAACAGAGGACCCGTTTGCTAGTGGTAGAGGGAAATCTCAATGGACAGCGCTACCGCAACAAGATCATCGGCCCTGTTGTTCTGCTGCTTTTGCGTCGTCATGCGTCGCCCGACGTCATGCTCTAATTGTTCCGGATTCTCTTCAACAAAACAACGTGAATGTCATCCCCTGGCCGGCTCGCTCCCCTCATCTCTCACAAATGGGGCAAATGTTGGATGAGATGGATCCGCGCCTTCGAGGTCAACCATGTGTTCCACAGACACTCCAGGAACTTCGAAAACATGCTCCAGCACATATGGACAGATATCCCACAGGACTTTGTACGACGCCTGGTCCATTCCATGAGACGAAGATGTGTTCCTTGCATCGCAACCAGAGGTGGACACACACGTTATTGATTTGTAAATTGACATTTTGGCATGTTCATGTTTTTTTTAATGAAATCACGCATTTTCTGAAGTGAGTATGGCAAATTAAACCATTTGAACACCTACAGGATTCTTTTATCTGTTGCACACCCAAATTGTTTCAGATTTGGTAAAAAATATAACTTTTCATTAAATCTTCTTCAATGTCACAGGAACGTTTGTTATTCAGTATATTTAGTGAGGTGACAACCAATTTCTGTGCATACCATGGACACACCACCGGAAACGCCAGCAGTTAACAGACCTACTTCACCTGCTAGTGTTGACAAAACTCTTTTGGTACCATTCAACAGCCAAACACTTGCCTCCACACCGGCCAAGATGAATAGCATTACATCTCTAAGGCGCAGAGGCACCTTGCCCATGGTGGGTATTCGCCAGCCCCTCGGGGGACCAGTTCGTCTGGTCGACACCATTCGCCTCTTCCCAGTTACCATCATAGTGAGCTGCCATCAAGTTTGGCAGCAGCCACGTCGGGGCGTTACTCCAGCGCCCCACCACCCTTGTTAGGCGGGATGCAGCACCCATTTCTTTCGGATAGAGGGGCGAGAGCAGAGTTTCCAGGATCGCCCTTGGACAAGTATTTGAGGGAGATAGAGATGCTGAAGTGGGAATGTGAGAGAGTCTATAGGGAACAATACCAGTGGGAATTGGCCACTCAAAGGCGGGAGCAAGAACGCAGAGCTATGAAGGAGGAATACCTATATAAATTACGCAGTGCGGAGGAAGAAAGAATGAGAGCAGGGGAAGAACTATCTCAGTTACAGGACAAGCTTCGCAGTGCCGAGAGGGGCAGGCTAGAAGAATGTGATCAAGTACAGCCTAAGGAAGCAAATATTCGAGTGCACCTGAGCATGGAGTCGCAGCCAGGCGTGGATGATAGACCGGAGTTCACCACGAACCGTAGAGAGGACTTGAACTCAATTAACAATGTCATCTCCAACTTTTTGTGAAGGACCTCAGGACCACTGGGCAAATCTCTACATCAACCCCCGGTGGGGTGTACAGGGCCTTAACCCATATATCCGCACAACAGGCAATTGGATCAACCAAGAATGGATCTTCCAGAGAGCAGTGGCAGTACACATGTAGGTGAGGTTGAAAATCGGATCAAGCTGTTAATGTGGAAGCAGATATCCCTGGAGTAGATTACCGGGCCTAAACGGTCAATGCCAACCAACAGAGACCACCACAAGTATGCTGCAACCCTGAGGTCACAAGAGAAGTTCAGATAGAATGCCGAACAGATCCCCTAGGCCAGGACCAAAGACCATGAGCGAGGTGAGGCGAATAGAAGACCCCATCAGGAGCGACCCGACTGGGGAACAGGTCTGAAGACCCCACCTATTTCCTATGGAGGGAAGGGGAGCTGGAGTGCCTTCCAGATCCAACTAGACACCTTGGCAAGAAATCACCCCATGGACCGACCAGCAAAAGTTTGACACCCTCTGCCTTTGTCTCAAGGAGGAAGCCCTTGGATATTTTGCCATTTGTAAGGGACGACAACACGACATATCTTTCGAGGCCATGGCCTCAAAAATGAACAAATGGTTTGACAAGGCAGAATTATCCGAGATGGCCCAGATTAAGTTTCAGACGATGCGCCAGGAGTCAGACGAGTCTCTTGAAACATGGTCAGAGCATTTAGTCAACACTGCCGTGATTGCCTTCCCAGTTCTGCCTTGCTACTATGTAGACAAGCAAGTAATTACAAAATTTTGTCAAGGTTGTTCAAATAAAGAAGCCAGTTAGTTTGTCACTAATCTTCGCCCCAATACTTTGAAGGATGCAATAGATAGGGTCTGGCATTTTCAACACCATGCTCAAGTGGTATATGGGCGGCAACCCCGTCGAGAGATGAGACAGGTAGTGGTGGAATAAGATCTGATAAGCCTAACCGGGTAGTGGATGGAGGGAGAGAGAGGGCTGTGGTAATTCAAGAAGGAGACCAAGAAGGACATCGAAGAGATTAAAAACATGCTTAAGAAGTTAGCAGAAAACATGTCTAGAGCAAGAGCCCGTTCTTGGTCACCCAGCCCTGGGCGCAATGACGGATGCTTCGCTTGCAGCGAGCGGGGACATTTCAAAGCCGACTGTGCGAAAAGAAGCCCTAAGCCAGAGAAGAAAGTCAACTTCACGATTCCTCAACCAGGTTCCCCAAAATCCCAGGGACTCAACAAACCCTATAAAACAAGTAGGGTACTACACCGATGAAGAAACCAGCCTCCCAATGATCAACATTAGAACCCTGACCCAAAGAGTCTCAATCATGATCACCTTCAGATACAGGATTTCTCAACCGAAGATGTGATTGACAGTGGAGTGGAGATGACTGTTATGTCCGACAGGCTGTTTGCGTAATTTGACGGACCAACCACCCACAGTACAAGAGGTCATGTTGAAGAATGCAGGGAGAGATCTTAAAATGAAAGGTTTCATAACGGATATGACAAGAATAAGGATCCAGGGGAAAACTTATTGATTGCCCATATGTGTGGCGCCAATAGAAGATGACATGTTACTGGGAGCAGATTTCATCCTTCGCCATTGCAACATTATTAACCTGGAGGATTATGTCTTAGTTATCAGTGGCATAGAAGTGCCAATGATGATCAAGTCCCGAAGAGGTCCCGCAGTATGTGGAATCCGACTAGCATCCAAGACTAGTATTCCCCCAAACTCTGTCCGAATGGTCAAGTGAACGCTCGACGATCAGTTCCGTCAGTATATGACGGGGCCCAGTGAGACCATCCTGGGAAAAGTTTTTATCCCTGAAATACTACATGGGCCAGGCAAAGAGCCATTCATATGCATGGTAAATCCCACAGAGAGTACCATCAAGCTACACGAAGGACAGGAGGTAGGCCAAGCTTCGGAGGTGGAGGAAATCAGCCCAGATGGAGATACCCGGGAGCAATGCCAAAGTAAGGCCAAGTCAATC